GTTTTTGATCATCTGTTTATGTTGTTCATTATATTCCACAAATGAGTGAGAGCATGTGATATTTATCTTTCTCTGACTGACTTATTTCACTTAGCATAATGCACTCCAGGTCGATCCATACTGTTGCAAATGGTAGAAGATCCTTCCTTTTTACAGCAGATTAGTATTCCATTGTGTAGATGTACCACAGTTTTCTAATCCACTCAGCTGCTGATGGGCTTTTAAGCTGTTTCCAAATCTTAGCTATTGTAAATTGTGCTGCTATGAACATAGAAGGATGCATATATCCTTTCTGATTGGTGTTTCTGTTTTCTTGGGATATATTCCTAGAAGTGGTATTACTGGGCCAAATGGAAGTTTCATTATTAAATTTTTGAGGAAACACTTACTGTTTTCCACAATGGCTGCACCAGTCTACATTCCAACCAGCAGTGAAGGAGGGTTCCTTTTTCTCCGCATCCTCTTCAGCACTTGTCATTTGTTGAATTGTTGATGATAGCCAGTCTGACAGGTGTGAAGTGGTACCTCACTGTTGTTTTGATTTGCATCTCTCCGATGATTAGTGACTGAGCATGTTTTCATGTGTCTCTAGGCTTTCTGAATGTCCTCTTTTGAAATGTGTCTTTTTAGGTCCTTTGCCCAGTTTTTGATTGGGTTATCTTCCTTTTGTTAAGTTGTATGAGTTCCCTGTAAATGTTGGAAGTTAAACCCCTATCAGAGATAACATTGGCACATACAATGAGTGGCCAGATTATTATGACCACTTCATCAGTACTTCGTTGGGCCACCTTTTCCCTTCAATAGGCAGTTTGTGGCGATTCTTCTTGGCATTGAATCCACGAGATGTTGAAAGGTGATGTGAGGAATCTGACACCATGCCTGATGAATAGCACTGTCCAGTTCTGTGAGATTTGATAGTTGTGGAACCAGCTGCCTGATGGCTCTTTTAACTTCGTCCCACAAATGCTCAATTGGATTGAGATCTGGTGATTGTGGGGGCCACCTAAGCAAGGTAAAGACTCCCTCATGTTCTTGAAACCACTCCTGCACAATATGAGCCACGTGGCATGGCACATTGTCTTGTTGGAAGAAGCCATCTCCATTGGTATGCACCATCAACATGATAGGATGAACCCGATCAGCAACGATACGTAGGTATGTTGTGCTATTCACATGTTGTGCCACACGAATTAAAAGTCCCAAATCATGCCAGGAAAACATGTCCCAAACCATAACACTGTCCCCACGAACATGAAGGGTTGTACTCATGCATGTGGGGTACATGCTTTCATGCTGTTTCAGCCAAATTCTCACTCTGCCATCTGCATGATGCAACTGGAAACGTGATTCATCAGACCACATAACTTTTTTCTCATGGTCAACTGTCCAATCCTTGTGTTTCTGTGTGAATTAGAGGCGTTTTATCTTGGTAACTGCAGACACCAAAGGCGTTCAAACAGGCCTTCAGTTTCCATATTCCATACGATGCAGTGTA